AAAAAAAAAAAAAAAAGAAGCATTACAAAAAACAAAACAGAGCAGAAAACAGCCTACCACTACCAATACTGGCTCTTCTTCCAGGGAGATAAATGCCAATTAAAACAGGAAGCGGATGCCATCAACACATTAAATTAATTAGCATCGAGCGCCACTGTGGGGCTCAGAAAAACTCACCCCCAAACCAGCAAAATTCCCCGTGGCTGATTAACATAGGCATTTGCCGGGTTCCACGGGGGTTAATTAAATACCATTGGCAAATTCCTTCTGAGGTGAACCCACGCGCTCTCTTGCTCTCAGTCTCTCTTGTGCTCACTCCTTGCGTTGTGCAGCTATCCAGACACGCTGACATATACACACACTGCTTCCCGGGACACAGACACAAACAGAGCACACCCTGAGAGAAGTACCTGCTGGAATACTCACGCTGACATGCAGACACACAGAAATACCCAGCATCAAAGAGATATACGCATATGGACATGTCACTGTGATACACAGAGTCACGTATGTGCTCAGAGACCACACGGGGCATGGGCAAAACCACCTGAGACATGCCCCAACACCCCACTGCTACTAAACGGTGGCATCAAACCTTCGCTGAGCACGGACCTCAGTGAGGAGGTCCAAGCACCATTTTAGGTACTTTACATGTAATCTTCCCAACAGCCCAATCAGGTAGGTCTTACTCATACAGGTAAGGAAACTGAGGCACAGTTAGATTAAGGATACAGTTACTTGCCCAAAGGGCACAGACAGACATATACATTCATAGTAATTCACGTTCGCAGAGACACAGTCCAACACTGAAACAGAAAAACAGATATGGGCACGGTGGTCAGTGTTTCAGGGTGGCAGGTGAAGTGAAAGGTATGCTGGCCACTTCAGGTGCACGGGTGGAAGCTGCAAATCCCCCTGGAGCAGACCTGTCGTTATGTAAGGAATCGGGAATCTAATCCCTTGGTAGGCAGAGATCTGGAGAGAAGGTGGACCAGCTTACATAAGGAACCAAGGCTTTCTGGGAGAGGAGCAATGGAGACTCTTTTTTTTTTTTTTAAAGTAGGCTCCATGCCCAACACTTGAACTCATGACCGTGAGATTGAGTTGCATGCTCTACTGACTGAACCAGCCAGGTACCCCGCAATGAAGACTCTTAACATAGGACAGAAGTGTCAGTTGGGGTGGCTCTGACTGAAATCCCTCTGACCCCAGGACCCCAGAGGGGCACCAACCAGGAGGAAGGAGAAAGATGCACTAAGCGGGCTTAACACAGGAGCCTCAGGATTGATGACTAAAGACAGGTGCTTTGTAGCATGTGGCTGTTTGGAAAAACCCACTGGAATCACTCTGGCATGTTTGGGAACCAGTGGCTGATAGGAATGTCAATCTCAGATCTTGGTTAAGTGGTCCTACTGCGGTTTGGTAGGATTGAGAACCAGTGGTCAATGGCGACATGTGGTAGCAGCCACCAAAACTGCACTGCTGCTCTATGGCTCAAACTTACCCTCCCACCCAGTCTTGCCAGGCATCTGGCCATGGAAATGGTCCTCTTTGGCCTGAGTAAGTTGCTGGCATTCTTGGACAACTGGGGGGTAAAGGAGGGCCTCCAAAGGAAGATGCTGGACTTCCTATTAATCACATATGGAAGCTTGAGTTTGCAAAGAGCTGTGGCTGTATTTTGACCTTCAGCTGGTGAAGCAAGTCATAGTAATTATAGTTAACTATACATTGACCTTGGCAATTTAGATGCTATGCCCACTGTATCCACACACATTCATGTGCCTAATTTCACACAGAGGCACATGACTGATCCACAAAATGGCATCCGCGTATTCATACTCACCAGCATGGCTTTTCCCAACCTTTCCCTCTGGCTCCCCCACCATCCTTACCCCACTGGGTCCCTGCGGGGAGCAGCAGGCCAGGCGGATAGAGCTGTTGACTGAGGCAAGTTGTTCCCGAAGACTTTCTACCTCCCGCTGGGCAGCCTCAGCTCGCTGGGGAGGAGAGTGGAGGCAAGTGCGGTTAAAAGGTGAGCAGGGCCACATTGGATCCCACCCTGGCCTTCTGCCGTCCCCCTGCATGCTTCAGGCAGGGCTGGGTGTTTGTCTCCAACTCCCATGCCACCTAGTGCCACCTGGATGGAGTGTCTGCAGAGTGTTTCCCAGCCCATGAGCTGAGGCAGGCCCCTGGGCAAGTCACTTCCTCTCTCTGGGTCTCAGTTTTCCTCTTGTGAAATGGGGGCAATGAAATACATTTCTAAATCAGAATGCCAGTTTTCCAAACTGGGTATATGGTGGATCTTAACTCCTCAAAAATTTCTAAGAAAAAAGCCTGGAAGGAAGCCTCCAAATGTTAACAATGTAGCCTTATGGCTTTTGAGAGAAATCTGTACTTTGTCACTCCCTGGTTGTGCGACCTTGGGCAAGAGATTTCATCTGCCCAGCCTCAGTTCCCCTATTTATAAAATGGGGATGATAAAAGTAACTACCTCATAGAGTTGTTTTGCAAAGTAAGTGATCTGGTAAACTACAACTTATTAGGTATCTTAGCTTAGGTATCAATAATTGGCTAACTTTGTTAAAAGAGCTGTGACTGTATTTTAACTCTCAGTTGGTGACGCAGGTCATAACGATTACAGTTAACTTTCACACTGATCTTGGCAATCAAGACACTATACCTACTATATGCACATGGAGACCCACACATATCCATGTTCACATTTTGTTAATTTATTTTTTAAATTGATTTGTTTACTTACTAGTATCCTGCCTTGTTCCAGAAATGGCTCAAGTCAGTTTTGTTTTTGGAAAGGTTTTGGGTGTGCAGGTGTAGAGGAATATTTTTATGTTTCTGCACAGCTAGGGCTTCCCAAGCAAATCTGACTGAAACAGGACGGGGCTAAATGACAAGCCCGGAAGTCAGTTTCTGACATCAGCTGGTGAAGCAAGTCATAGTAATTTTCCTCTCTGAAGGTATGTGTTTACATTTCAGTGGGGGATGAGACCCCGACCATGGACACATCCCCTGGGTTGGAAAGCTGGGTTTAAAGCTACTAGAAAGTTACGAGTCTTATCTTCCCCATGGAGAGAAGTATTTTCATTCCACATGCTAAAAACTCAGGATGCTTGCCCTTCTGTTCATCATGACACTAGGGAGCTAGTTTTCTCCCTCTCTCAGAAAGTCCCTCTCCTATATAACCATCCAGAGTCACATGTGGGGGTTCCTTGCCCACAGTAAGAAATCTGGTGCGTGCAAGATGATGTCTGATTGTCACCCCGGGGGGAAGAACTGGGGCAAACTGGCAGGGTTATTACTATGTAAGTAGTAACACTGATCTGCTCTGCTCCAGAATCCTCTTGTTCACATTCTGGACAATCTTAATACAGATTAAAAAAACCCTAATATGATGACATTTATTTTCTTCTCCATACTTTCTATAATGAGGTTTTACTTTTACACTCAGAAAAGATAAACATTAAAAAAGAGTTGTTTCCTATTCAAACTGCTCTAAGATCTCTTTTCGCAAGCCTATTTGACTGGCAAAGATCCAAAAGTTTGGTGACACACGATACTACTGTAGGGAAACCGGCCCTGTCTTAACTGCAGGGAGTGTAAACTGGGCAGTTTGGCCACATCTGTCAAATAAAAATGCACAGATCCTCAGCCCAGGAATTCCACTTCTCAGAATTTACCCTATTTAGTGGCTCATGCATGTCTGAAATAGTATCTGTATACGGGTGTTCCCCGCGGGATTGACAATGATGTTAAATGACTGGAAATATGGTCTTCATCAGTCGGGGACTGGTTAGACCATGGGCGGGCAAGCTGCAGCTGGATGCCTGTTTTGTGTATCAAGTTTTTCTGGAACACAGCCACACCCATTCGCTCGCATACGGTCTACGCTTTCACATATGGCAAAGTGGGATGGCCGTGACACAAAGCTGGGCATATTTACTCTCTGCTCCTTCACGGAAAGCTTGCCACCCCCCGGTTGGATGACGGAGTGGCCATGTAGGGCAATACCACATGGCCGTAAATAAATGGACTTCTTTTATGCAGACATGGAATGAGTTCTAAGATATACACGTGGAACAAATAAGGTCCGAGAGGGTGGGTACAGTATATTATGGTTTTTGTTATAAAAAGGGGTAAAAATAGATACATTCCTGAGCTTGTGAACGGATCTCTAGAAGGAGACACTAGAAACAGGTAAGAGAGGCTGCCAAAGGGAGAATAACTGGGAAGCTGAATTGGGGAAGGAGACAGGAGTTTCCCAAGTATGCACCTTTTTGAGTTTTGAACTATGAAAATGGATTATGTATTCAAAAAACTACCCTAAAAATGCTACTCTTTTCCACATTTCCTCTGCAGGTGGGTGGGCCCTGCACTTAAGCCGGCACAGCCATGCCTCCGGGCCTTTGATCCTGCGGTGCCTTCCACCTGGAACGCCCTTCGTCCAGAGAAGGCCTCCTGGGCTTTAGAACCCAGCTGTAAAGCGTGCTCCTACAGGGAAATGATTACTCGCTGTCACACTGCTGGCCCCTCCTGGCCATGTCCCTGGCTGCTGGCATTGCAGGGAGCCGAGGGTGGGTGGAGGTGTGTTGGGCCCTTGAGACTCCAGCCTGGACCCCATGGCCACGCTTCACCTCCTTTCAGACTCCTGCCAGCTTTGCCCCCCCAGACGGCAACATGTCTGAGGTCTGAAGAAGGCAGGGTGTGGGACTCCATTTACATATGTGAAAATGGGGACTCGCAGAGGCTCATGGACTTTTGAGGACCTGGGCTGGGACTAGAAGATGGGGGCCCCAAGCAAGTTTGGGGTCCATCCAGTGATTGGCTGGCGTGGCTGGGATCAAGGGAGGAGGTTGCAGGAGAGCTGGTGGTGTGGGGAGGGAGGGAAGGAAGCAGCTGGGGCTTGTCCCTTGTCACCACCTCAGGCTCTTTGGAACATGGTTCCTCGCTCAGTCTGCTTGGGAGAGACCTACGTCCCAGCTTGGCCTTCGGGCTGGGCTCACCAGTCACTGCTCCGCCGCCTTCCTCCTGCTGGAGAGGCCTCCTGCACAGGAGCCGCCAGGGAAGGGCACCTGGCCTTCACCTAGGCTGTCCCCTGGCCTAGAATGCCATCCTGCTACAATTTCAATTTATTCGTCAGGTCTCAGCAACATGGCCCTTCCTCCATGACGTCCTCCCTGACCCTCAAGTCTGGGTCAGGTGCCCCTTCCCCAACTTCTACTGCCTGGGTCACCCTATTACTGAGTATTCTGTCAGCATCCCTTCCTCCTTCCTCCGAGAGCCCAGGGTCCCAGACACTCCTGGCCCTAGCACTCAGCATGGCACATGGCACATGGCAATGGTATCAATAAATATCAATTGGGTTCCCCCCAGCCCGAACCCCACCCTGGGCGGAATGAGTGTTAGCACACATCTTCTCACCTGATTAGCTTTCTCCAAGTTGGTCATGATCAGGCCGACTTCATCTGCCCTGAGACAGAAAGATAAGACCCTGAGAAGGGTTTCTGGCAGCCACCAGACCCCTGCCTATCCTGATAACCCCAGCCCCTGCCTGAACCTAAGGCTCTCGCTCACAATGGGAGGCTAAGGAGGCTGCCCTCTATCCCTCCTACTAGAGAGAAACCGGGCTGGGCACAAAAGAACCCAGGCTGTGGGGAAATGGGATGGGGGCCTCAGCACGACACCCCTTCCAGGCGGCCTGGCCTGCTGCCCTTGCCAGGGGTCTATTCTCTTTAGCTGCCCACAGAGCTACACCTCCCAGCCTTTGGCCACACTGTGCCTTCTACCTGGAATGCCCTTCCTCAAGAGGACAGGACTCTGAGCTTTAAAACCCAGCTCCAAAGTGTCCTCTTAGGAGGACTCCCTCAACTACCCCCGTGGTGGTCATTCGTTTATTTGCTGCCCCCCAACCCCCAGGCTCCCAGCACTGAGGGGGCCAGGACAGGCTGTATCCACCTTGGTCGCCCCTCTGCTGAGCATGGGGTGGGGACACAGGAGGCCTGTGGGGAGCATTTGGTGACTATAAGCTGTGCACGTGCTTTAGGCGTATTCAGGGCCTTCTTTCATGCAAGCTGTTCCCCCCTGTCCAGAGCACCCAACCCAGCATTCTCCATATGGCCATCTCCTTCTCATTCTGGAGGTCATCTCCTCAGGGAAGTCCCCTGGGACTACCCTGGATAACAGGACCCGTCCTCCCTGTTAGTCTCTCTTGCTGCTCATGGCTCTTCCGTTCTTAGCATTCGCCAAGCGCCCAGAACAGTGCCAAGCATACAGTAAGTGCTCAATAGTATCTGTGAAGGAATGAATTTATCACTATACATCATCCGTTATTGTCTGTCTCTTCTCCTCGACTGAGGACAGGGCCATGTTCTAGCGTTTCTTCCAGGGACCCAACATAGCACTGGGTAAACAGTAGGTGCTAAATAAGTGTTTGTGGAATAAATGATGTCTTAAAGCCATGCTGAGTCCAGAGTAATTTAAGTGAATGACACTCAGCCCCTGAGGGTTGGACTGTGGAGTTGTGGTGGAGACAGTTCTAGGAAGTTGTGGTAAGGTGGAGGCCCCTGCCCAGCAGACCCTACTCAGCCACGACCCAGAATGTCATTTATAGTCTATGGTGCATGAATGGCACAGACCAGTGAACAGCTGTGTGCCTATGGGGGTGGGGAGCACTGGGTGCTTAATGAAATAGGTGCTTCAGGCAGTGAGTTAGAGGGAGAAGAGTCAGAAAGAGAAGGCATATTTGAGAGAGTCAGAGGGTGGAGGCATGTCTGGGAGGGTCAGAGGGAGGAGGCATATTTGGGAAGGTCAGAGGGAAGAGACATATCTGGTAGGATCAGAGGGAGGAGACATGTCTGGGAGAGCCAGAGTGAGAAGGCATACCTCAGCAGGGTTTTCACTTACTTGGATGCCGCCTCCTCATCATATTTCCGCCGCAGTTCCAGCAGCTCTGTCTGTGTGGCCTTTAACGCTGGGAAAAAGTAAAGAGCCAGGGTGAAGCACCTCCCACCTCCCCCAGGAGCCCACTCCTTCTGCAGGGTTCAGAAGGCAGAATGAAGTTCAAGGTAGTAAGGGAAGACCTTTCTTTTGGTTAGAACCAGTGACAGGTAGAGTTTCCTGCCCATGGAGAGGCTTCAAGCTGGTTGGAGGGCAGACAGGATGACCCTCTAGGAGTCTACGAAGCTCAGAGGCCCCAGGCAAGTGGTAGGGGTCTGTCTGTCCCATGGCCTTGTGTATGAGCTGCCCCACACCCTTAGGTCACTCCAGGACCTGGGTGGGGCCATCTGTCCATGAGCTCACCCACTCCAAGGTTCAGACAGGGAGGAGCAATGAAGTCAACAGATATGTGTTAATTATGAGAAATTTCTTATGAAATTCAAGATTTCTGATTTCTCCAAGAAGATTGAAAGCTTGGTGACACTGGGTCATATGGCAGTAGCTGGCTGATGCTCAACAGTGGCCATCTATTTAGTCAAGGCCCAGGTGGTCCAGTTTGCCCCAGACCCCACCCTGCCCTACTGCCTTCCCTAACCTGACCGGCTTGGTTGTGTGTCTGGCCCCTGCAGGCACTGAGTTCGCCACCCCTGATTTAATTCTACTTCTCAAACCCTCTCTCCACAGCAATGTGGCCTCCAGGGACTGGGCTCAGACCCCCACGGTATAAAGCTGATCTACCCCCTTCCTCCTCAAACCGCATCCCCCCACCCCCGCCCCACCTTCCTGATTCTAGACTACCTGAGCTTGTGTTCATAGAGTCACTGTCCCCTCCCACTCCTCCTCCTGGTCTGACAGGGTTGGGGAGGTGCACGGGGCCAGGGAATGTGTGCCAGATACATACCTGAATGTAGGACTTTGATCTTTTCCTCTGCCTCCCCCAGTCTGGCTGCCAAAGTGATTTGTACTTCTTGAAGGCCCCTGTGGAGAGACCGGGCCTGCTCACCCTGGCTCTGCACACGCCCATGTGCATGGGCCCTGCCTGGGTCCCTGAGTCGGTCCTCCTGGCTTCCTAACCCACTCACCTGCTCCCTGTAATCTGTACCTCTGCCTTTTTAACCAGTCCTTAAACATGACATTCAGGCATTTGGCTGCCTTGCTCTTTTGCTGACTGTGTGGACCTTTATCAGCCAGTGACCTTGCCTCTCTGGGCGTCAGTTTCCTCACCTGTAAAATAAGGTTCTGCTGGGGTCTGCCTCGTGGCTGCTATGAGACATCTTCAGCGTGATGTGGGGTACCTGGTGCTCCCTCAGTACCATTACTTACTATTCCTGTCCTTGGGGAGGCATTTTTTCCCGTCTTTGTGTCAGTTGTTTGGGATGGTTGTCCAGCCCACTGTAGCCTAGAGCTTCGGTGTGATGCAAGTGTCTCAGCAGAGACAGAGGGGCCCCGGCTGGACTGGGGGAGGGTTTATACAAAGCCTGGGCCTTCTGTTGTCTGGCTCAGAGACTCTAGGGAAGGAGCCCCTTTACCTCTGGTCCTACACCCTGTCCCTTCCCCTCTCTCACACCACTCTAGGCACACTCACCTCCTTGCTGGTCAAACACACCAGGAATGTTTCTACCTCAGGGCCTTTGCTCTGGTTGTCCCCTCTGTCTGAAACACCCTTCCCCATAGATCTGCAAGTTTCACTCCCCCACCTCCTTGGGGCTTTGCTTACCTCCTCAGTGAGGCCTCCCCTTATACCCTATTTAAAACTTCAGCTTCAATCTCCAACGCTCCCTCCTTTATTTTTCTTCACAATGTTTATGATCATGTAGCAGACTATTTACTTTATTTATCTTGTTTATTTGTGTCTTCCTCATGAGAAAGTAAACTCCAGGAGAGCAGGGAGGCTTGTCCACTTGTTCACTGCTGTGCTTGTTCACAGCAGGTGGCTCCATAAATACATGGAACAAGTGAATACGAAATAAGTAAACGAAAGGATAAATGTAATGACCACCATGAAGCTGTCCTAGAAATGCCCCAAAGATCCAGATTTATAATACTCCAGGTATTATTACTCCCACATCAACTGTAAGGGCAACCATTTACTGACATATACTCCTTCAAGTGAGTGCGGAGCTAAACACATATATTCATTCTCACGGTAGACTAGGAGTTGATATCACCTGTCCACTTGATCAGGCTACAGTACCCAGTTATTCAACCACACACTAACCTTGGGGTTGCTGTGAAGGTATTCTGTAGATGGGCTTAACATCTACAGTCAGCTGACATTAAGTAAAGGAGAAGAATCTCAATAATGTGGGTGGGCCTCGTCTAATCAGTTGCAGGTCTTAAGAATAAAACCGAGGAAGAAGAACTTCTGCCTCAAGACTGCAGCACCTACTCCTGCCTGACTTTCCAGCCTGCTGGCTGGCTCTACTGATTCAGACTTGTCAGCCCCAACTGTGTGAACTAAGTCCTTGAAATATGTGTCTTAATTAAAATAGAAAATCCTTCTGGTTTTATTTCTCTGGGGAACCCTGACTAATACACCACCATTAGCCCCATTTTCCAACTGGGAAAACTGAAGCTCAGACAGGTGATGTGAGCTGCCCAGGGCTGGCCGCTGAGCTGCTGAGGTAGGGCTGGAAACCTGGGCCTGCATCTCTATCTCCAACCTGCATCCGGATTCCCTGAAGGTCCCACCTCCCAGCCAGGCGGGGCAGCAGGGGCCCACCTGTTCCTCCCCACTCACTTTTGTTTCTCCGCCTCATTTCTCTGCAGCAAAGTCTCTGTCAGGAGGGCTTTGCTGGGAATGCCCGGGAGGCGGCTCCCCTCAGTCAGCGTGGGCCCTGCTGGAGATGTCCCCTCTCTCTGCTCTGGAGGGAAAAAAAGAGGGAAAACCACCCATCACTGGAGGTGGCATGGCAGCCAGAGGTGCCTTCTGCAAACCGGAGGGACTGACAGTGCTGGGACAAGACTTAATTTCCCAAACTCGGGTGTTAGAGAGAGTGCAGCTGGAGAGACCTGCCATCACCATGGTCAGCTGGGTTGTCACCGTGGGGGGCGTGTGTGAACGAATGTCAAGTTCCCATGTGCCAGTCTCAGCCAGCAAGCCCAGAGGCTTCTTTACTCTCTTGGACCTGTTCCTGCCTCCTCGGCCTTCTTACTTTTTTAAGAGTCATGGTAAAATATACATAAAAGTATACAATTCAGTGACATTTAATACATTCACAGTATTGTGCAACCGTTAGCATTAATTCCAGAATGCTGTCACTACCCCAAAAGGAAGCCAGTCCCCACTAAGTAGTCACTCCTTTTTCCCACTCCCCCAGCCCTTGGCAACCACCAATCTGCTTTCTGTCTCTGGGGATTTGCATATCCTGGATATGTCCTATCACTGGAATCATACATAATATATGTCCTTTTGTGTCTGGTTTCTTTCTTTTTTTTTTTTTTTAAAGATTTTATTTATTTATTTGAGAGAGAGAATGAGAGACAGAGAGCATGAGAGGGAGGAGGGTCAGAGGGAGAAGCAGACTCCCTGCCGAGCAGGGAGCCCGATGCGGGACTCGATCCC